AAATAAAGAGCTTTGTATTACTGAGTGTAAATAAAAATATGTCAAATGCAAAATACTTATTTTATAAGGGTCAATTCTGGTTGATATCTCAGCTACTCTGAAACATAAAAAACAAAACAAAAAAAACCCTCAAACATAGTGCAATAATGTCAAACAATTTCATCAGATGTGGAAAAGCAAAAATAAATAAATCTAAATTTATATATTTATATATTACAAAAGATGAAAGAATGAGAGCACTCAATAGATTTTCCAAAAAAGTAGATATATATTTATTAAATATATAGAAATAAAATAAATATAATATATATAAATATATATTTTTTATTAACCACAAATCAAACAAGCTTATGTACTGGGCGAGTTGTTTATTCTGTTATATTTCCATATGGTGGTTTTAAGTTATAGATTTTGGATGACCTGCTGGTCGGCAAATAAATTTGGTCAAATTGCAATTTGTCCAAAAATGAATGCACATGCCGAATAAGTATATTCTATGGGGTGAAATACATTTTAATTGTGTTGAAATGTTCCCCTTCTCTTTCTTTTTCTGTTTCTTATATCTTTTAACAGGTTTGCATGAATGAGTATTTCCTAAATGTAAAAGAATAAGCTGTGTGCTGGTTCCTACTACATGTTAATCTTGTATAGTACTAAACATTTTCTTGTAAATTTTCCCATGCAAGTGGTTTCGGGAAAAATAACTAAAAAAATAATAAACTACACATTGTTCAACAAATTTAACAACAGCTTCAGTAAAACAATAAAACATTCTCTGATATCAGGAAAATTATCTTTTAGGGAAAAATAGACATTTTCCAATCTTACTTTTGATTTTGATTCCAAGTTAGATTTATAACGTTTATTTTTATTCACACAAGTTTTATCCTATGACAAATAGTATTTGATCACTTTCTTTTGCATTTATTCTTGAGTGGTTGTGTTAGAAGAAAATTGGGAAAACAGCTGTTTATTTACTCTTCTATTAAATTAGTAAATATAATCTCTCAAAGATAAGGTTGTATGCACTATACATTACATAGTTGGGAATAATACATATCATTGACTTATAAATCTGTAAACATTCATGTATAATTAATGTTTTTTTCCAGTGTTTTTCTCAGGTGGAGTAAAAAATCAGTTTCAAATTATGAATATACCATTTTCATAAGTGTAGGTCTCAGTATATTGGTATAATCAATATAATAGAATTGTATGGGTTTGTTAATGCTGCATTGGTGTGATGTTTTATTGCTTGAAATTAATTAATTCTTCTTTGATAAGTATAATTCTTTCACCATAGTATTCTAGGTTATTTATAAAGGGCCACAGTTTTTCATTGCACAATTTTCCCCCTTTAACCCCCCCCCCCCCCCACCAATTCTTTATTTAGACAAAAGCAGGTAAAAGCAATGCATTTTTCACATGACAGTATCAAAAGTTGCAGTACACACATGTAGCCGAAGTAACAATGGGGCTTCGGTTCCCAATGACCAAAATCATCTAGAGTACACACATTTAACAACAGCGTTTCCCAATGGCAGCAGTTAATTAGAGCAAAAGTATTACAGTCTGTTTCATGTGTCATCTTGAGAATGCTGGTAGCTCATGTCAGTTTTAACTAATAATGCAACAACAAAACTGGGAAACACTGGAGGAGGAATGAACACTGTGGTGGGAGATGCAAACCATGATTCGGTTCCCTATTACGAGGGAGTGACATAATAATTCCAAGGTGTCCACACATTTTCCAAGAAAGGGACGGTTTCATAGATTAATGCAGTTAAGCCATCCAATAGGTGATCTTCCCAGATTTTGACCTTTATTTCACCAATCGATGGTTCCCAACCAAGGTGTCCCTCGCTGCTAGAGTTATTTTTTGGCGAGCTTCTGTGCTCTTCTCAGGAAACCTTCTTGGGGGTGAGGTAAGAGGAACAATTATGGACACATACTAAATCATCTCTGAAACATTGCTCCCAACAACTCTCCCACCTCTTTCTTCAAGGGGACCACCACTGGGCTCAACCACTACATGTGGTAATAATTTCCTTTCTGGCCACACATTTTTGGTGGGTGCAGGGTGGTGTGGGCTGAGCTGGGTGCCAGGGAGATGATGCATAAAGTGGGTGCAGGGAGGCATGGGGGCTGTAGGAAATTGTTACAAAAACATATATTCTATCCCTTGTTTTTGTCAGCCTGCTGGCTCACAATACAAGAGAGAGCAGGCAGAAAGTGATGTCCCAAATAAATAGATAACTATATTTAGGAAGAAATCCTCATATAGTAAAATCTTGGGATAAGAGTAGCCGATAAAAACCACTGTGCCACTAGTACAATTAGTAACCACCACCAAAGGTTACAGAAAAGGATATATATGGAGGGTACTGATTTGAAATTAATCAAAAAAGATATGAACTGGGCTCAGTGGAAATATCAAGTAACAAGGATCTTGAGTGAGTCCTGATGAAATACAAATGTTGCAGCTTATCGGACCTAAACCTCCTATATAGTAAGGCAGGTAGTATCCACCAGCTACAAATGGGTTAATATAGTAAGGATCTTATGTATATATAAGAATCAATACCACAGATACAAAATATCTAACATACCCCTTGAAAGAGGGTATGCATAATATACAATGCAAATAAAAATGCAAATATAGAATAAAAATAAAAGTCTAAAGTTAGTCAAATATATGTACAGCAGACATGTAGCTTAATCATACTTTATTGTCTGAACAGCACACTAAAATATATAGAGAGACTAACAGTGATAAAATGGTTAAAATGAAAAACAGTCCCACATAAGAGAGGTAGATATTTGAATATTTTACCGGGTCACAATAGACTGAGGGTCCAAAAAAGATAGATAGACGTTACTTTCTCTCGCCGGCCGGACAGAGAAAGAGGAGGACTGCCTCGTGCTAAGCTGACACCGGGTATTCTCCGCGTGCGTTCCACTGCGGCTATGCGTTCCAAGTCTCTCTCTCAGGAACTGATGATCGTCGGATGCCTTCCTTACGCGTTTCGTGATTTCAAATCACTTCATCAGAGGATGGCATCAAAGGAGCATTAACTTCTTATATACTCCCTAACTTCAATCAGTTAATTGCATATAATTGTTGGATTAACCCTCCATTCGCCAAGACAGCAGATTCTCCAAACATAATAATATTGTATAAATAATAATAGTAAAAAACATATTTACCAGTAATTCAATTATACATAAAAACATGCTCTTAAATACGTAATTATATAAGCACATAATGATATAAGCAATCGTTGTAAAAAGTTGGTAATTTAGTATCATCAGGATATTGTTACATAATAACATTATAACTAAAGATACATCCGCTGTTACAAGAAAAAATATATGAATAAAAAATATGAATGGCAGAACATCTAATATTTTACACAAAGGGAAACAGAAAATTTCAAAACATAATAATCAATATACACCTATGTATTGAGAACGGACCGTCTACTGGAACCGCAACTAATAAAAATACAAATACAATGTGACACATCAAATAGTAACTGGATCGTTACCACTTAAAGTGACAGGGTATCTAAAACAAAAATTAGTATATGAATAAATAGTATTAACTATCATAAAAAAAAAATAGGAATATTCGATCCCTAGAAATAAAATTATATAATAAGTATAGTAAATAGTAAAAGGGGAATACTTAGTGATCGAATAAAATCTATGCGGTTAGAACAAATCATCTGGTGTAACCCCAACTTTAAAAAGGTCCTGTAGTTGGTGCATCAATAAAATATCAAAAAAAAAAAAAAAGGTTCTTTATAAAAATGCATTAAGCTCAAAATCAATATTTAGACCAACTGGTTCCAAACTATTGAGTTGAAATATCCATCTTGCTTCGTTTTTATCAAGCCTTTTTTCAAAATCTCCTCCCCTCCAATGTGGATTAATTAAATCAATAGCGTAAAATTCTAAGCCAGTTGGATCATTGGAATGGTAATTGGTAAAATGTCTTGAAAGATTATGTGTATTGAGTCCTTTCTTGATATTGAATGTGTTCTCCTAATCTTGTTCTAAATTTTCTCTTCGTCCTGCCCACATAATGTTTCTTGCAGGGACAAATTAGGAGATATATGACCCCTGTGGAGTTACAACTCAGATTTGATTTAATTTTGAATTCTTCGTCTCCATTCATATTGCTAAATTTTCTTGTCAATATTGGTTGAGTGGGGTTGTTCTTACAGCCTGGACATTTATTGCATTTATGGAAGCCTGCCATCTCCTGGTTCATTCTGGATGGTCTAACTTCCTTAATCGTTGGAGCTAGTATGGTTTTCAAACTTGGAGCTCTGGAATAAAAGATTTTAAAGTATGATTAAGCTACATGTCTGCTGTACATATATTTGACTAACTTTAGACTTTTATTTTTATTCTATATTTGCATTTTTATTTGCATTGTATACTATGCATACCCTCTTTCAAGGGGTATGTTAGATATTTTGTATCTGTGGTATTGATTCTTATATATACATAAGATCCTTACTATATTAACCCATTTGTAGCTGGTGGATACTACCTGCCTTACTATATAGGAGGTTTAGGTCCGATAAGCTGCAACATTTGTATTTCATCAGGACTCACTCAAGATCCTTGTTACTTGATATTTCCACTGAGCCCAGTTCATATCTTTTTTGATTAATTTCAAATCAGTACCCTCCATATTAATTTCTACCTATATCTTCCTTTCAGAGTGAATTATTTAACTTTCCTTTTTAATCCATATTTGTTATTATGTTAATATTGTCTTAAAGTGATTCACACCCTCTTAATATATATCTCTGTCTCTTACATTTCATTCTTCATTCAAGGTTTATCATGTCTTTAACTGTGAAAGATGTTTCTATTCTTGTGAATCACACCTTCTTGTTATTTAAACCTTCCCCTTTACAGTTCCTTCTTATTTCTTATAATCTGTGAAAACATATTTCTGTTGTTGTGCTATTTGTATTATACCCTTATATTTCTCATTCCCTTGTTGCTATTTCTTAAAAAAACCAAAAAAAACCATTTCTATTCCTTTCCATTAGTCACATTTTATATCTCTCTTATCTTGATAATCCTTAATTTAGTATTAAAGCCTTCTCTTGTACCCAGATATTAGCAGAACCAACATTATCAAAAAATATGTTTTTTGCTTCATATCCCACTATGAGTCTCGCTGGGAAGCCCCAGTGATAATTAATAAAACGTTGTTTTTTTCTTAATATCCCGGTGTGAATACACGTCTTTTCTATCTTGTTTCATATGATAAGTCTGCGAAGACCTTAAGGCTTCCTTGCCTTGATGCCCTCTTACTTCTTCTCTAAACAAATAGGAGTTACAACATATCATTTCATCCCTTGGAGTTTCTGGAGTCAGGCTGCTTGTTTTTGGGATTCTATGGTATCTTTCCACAAATTTGTATTTATCATCCATGTGGATTCCCATCTCTGAGAAATAAGATTTTAGAAAATCCTGCAATTTATCTTGGCTTATATTTTCTGGCATATTCCTTATCCTCAAATTCTTTTGCCTGGATCGATCTTCTAAATTAATCATTTCCAACTCAATTTCTGTTTTTCTTGTTAATATTTAATCAAAATTTCTGTGTGGTCCAATTTTTCTTCAACCAATTTAATCTAATGTCCAATTTCCTTTATATCCCTTTTTAAGTCATAATTGTTATTAGAGTTGTTGATCAAGGCAGCTTTTAAGAAAGACCGGCGTTACCGGTGAAGGTTCATTCACTTTCGCAATCTCCGTCTCAGCTGTTTTTTCTCCTCATTAGTGGGGCTGGGTTCCTTTGGAGGCATTTCTGTTAAGGATTTATCAGTTTGGGGTATGAAGAAATTTGATAATCTCTTTTCTATTTTATGTTCCCTTCTTTCTCCCTTGTCCTTATTCTCCTTTTCTTTGGTTAAATGGGCTTCTGTTCTTGGTTTCTCCTAGATGAGACACCTTTATTTTGATTTACAAGTGGAGCAAATGGCTGAGAGTAATGAGCCCCCAAAATGAGGTAATAAACTTCAAGAGCCCTTATGCTCGATTTCATTTCCCTATTTGGCTCCTATCTCTGTCTCCAGTATCTCTTTAAGGTGTAGAGAATGTAGCCATATATAATAACAGGTAGGAAAGGGAGCAGTAAGTATCCTGTATGAGTGATAGGTGATAACTCACAGGAATCGCAAGCCTTTTTGCCTACTTTGACTCTTATTGTTTTATGTCCAGACTGTCACTTTAAGAGGGGATGTAGGATAAATATGTGACGAAGACGCCAATAATAAGTAACAGCCCTGGATTGGCGTTTATAAGTAACAGCTTTTCCTGTTCATCCCAGCTGTTTAGAAAGGTATAAGTAATCAAGGGCTAATTTTCACTCACGTTTTACTGTATATGTTTAAATCCTCTGAGTATCCAATCTCTGTGGGGTTACCTCTCTATGCCTCACCAACCCTCTCACACTTCAAATTTTCACTTTTTGGAGCGTGGTGGTTCTTTTTTCCTTCTCCTTTCTTCCCCCTCCTCTCCTCCTCCCTCCTCTCCTCCTCCCTCCTCCTTCTCTCCTTTCCCTTCGGTGCACCAATGTCTCTCTCGTACCCTCGGTGAATTATAATTTCAAGTTAACTTGTATCTCATTATTTTGTAACCAATTCTGAGGTACCATATCTCTTTAAGTAGAATGTGAGATGGACGAATGCTAAGAAGCGAGTAGTAAATAGCAAGCCTTTATAGAGGTTTTTGTAAATAGTAAAACATAATATTCACTCCTATAGTTTTAGAAATGTGAATACACAAGGGCTAGTTCTCACCCATCTTCGCCGTGTTTAATTATAGCCTCTGGCTTTCCGTTCTCAGCGGGGTTTCCTCTTTATGCCTTGCCGGCTCCCTCTCTCTTCGGTTTGTCCCTTCGGTGTCTCTTATGTCCACTCAGTATTCCACAAGTTATGAGCTTGTTATCTTATGTATATGTAGAGGGGAAGGAGGTTTGTTTCAAATTTTCTCCTGCTTCTTCTCTCTTGTTTCCTAACTGATTGGAGAGTTTCTCATGGCGCGCTCACTTTGCAGCACTGCTCCTCTTTCTGCGGGCTTCTCCCTATCCACGGACATACGTAGCTTGCGTTCCTACGTCATCCCGTCCCGCCTCACCTATTTGATATTTTAATTGGTTAAAAAAATGATTTTTTTAAAACAGATTATTAGATTTCCAATTTTTGGCTAAAATAGATTATTGGAGTGGACAACATCTAGAGACCCACAATTGTCCCCATGTGACCCAAGACATGGATGCACCACAGTGCCACCGGATCTAAACACTCTTGAGCGCTACCGTACTTGTGTGTTCACACACAGACATTTGTGGATGAGCCTGTATGCGCCATGGAAGATGCAGAGCATTGATGTCTTGTCGTCTAGCACTACAACACACCAACATTTGAGAGGGAATCACTTCTCAGGGTCTGTCAGATTGGAGGGCCCAGCTGATGCCTGCAACTTCTTCCTCCTCAATCAGCATGGTGCTGCATCCTCACATCCCAAGGCTTCAGTATCCATCTGGGTATCTTTTCGTTGGCCAGAAGAAGTTCCGGGATTCATTGTGTGGAGGTATGCACCTGAGCCTTTTATTTAATTATTTTCTGCCCTGTACCCTTTGTCCATATACAATGTTTTAATAATGGTTACATTGGCTCTTTATACATCTGTGTGCACCGTGTTAGGTTATGTGTGAGTGTGAATGTGTGTGAAAGGATAAGGTACTGCCTCGCTGTGTGTGTTGTGTGTCATAAATGTACTAGGTTAATAGTAGCATTTTGTGAGTACGTATGTGTTGAATGTGTACACTGCATGTGTTTGTAAATTCATATGTGCATAAATATGTGACTGTCATTTCTAAGTTTATGATCCATGATTTTTATTACCATTTTTTTGCCATTTTAATTTTTTGCCAGTGAGGTATAGTTGATACCCCTCTAGGCACAGGATTACCCCTTTAATGTAGGAAGAGCCAAGTTAATGCATTGCAACAAAAACAGAGAATATGAGAACTCTGTCTCTGCATACATTCATAGCAACACAGGAGAGGGAAATATGTATGCAATAAACAGTGTATTAAAGGGTATGTGGCAAACCTAGCCACTCGGACTATAACTGGACACTATGCCTTTAAGGGTTGCCTATAGGTCTGAAGAGATATGCGTTTTAACCTGTATGTGTCTGCTTCACGTATTCCCTGCATTGCCTGTACCTATCCGTTCCGCCGAATGCAAATGGCGGTTTGTATGGGGATTCTCGTTCGTTTCACGAACGGCACTTTGGTGGGCCGTTCGTGAAGCGAATGCGATACCCCCTAATAGCCCACACACTTAGAGGCGTGTGGCGCTAGTTAACCGATTGCAACATTGTTGCAATCGGTTATTAGAGGCTCTCCTGGGTGGCTGTCGTTCGACTACCGACCATGCGGCGGTCGGCCATCTTGGATCCTTTGTTCCCTCAGCGGGGTTATGTCGTCGAGCGCCTGGTACTAAAAACGGCTACTCGACGGCATGAGCCCCGCTGAGCCTCCAGGACGTTCGGGAGTTTCGGGACGTTCGGGATTTTGTTCCCTAATAGCAATCGGTTCTTTTTGTATGTTTTATATGAATTGTGTTGTTCGTGCGGCGTTCGGTTATTTTAGCAGGGATCTGAGCGGTAATCTCACGAATGATACCCTCAGACCCCAGCTATCTACCGAACGTCCATTCGTGTAAATCCACTATATATTCACCAAGTTATTGATTTTTATGTGAATTATCGGTTCTGCTGCACGAGGGGATAATCCACTTAACGGTGCATTCTGGGAAGATTATCCCTCTCGTGCAGCGGTGCCTGATGGGAGAAATATGCTGTAATGTAAGTCCCCCATGTAGTCCCCTCCTGTACAACCCCTGTAATGTCAGTAAGGAAACCCCTTGCATGGGGAACTGCATAAATACTGTGACCTGTGATTAAAACCTCAGTTGACTCCCAGCCTATGTGTCGTCTAGTTCTTGGGAAGGAAGGGTTACTGCAGTGCTGTTTGGATTATTGTATGCTGATTCCCTGGATTATCCTTTGTTGTTCCTGTTATCCAGCGGAGATATCGTGGATTATACTGCCTCTCCGCTACAGGGTAGAACAAGGACTTCTGGGAGTTGTAGTTCATATGCAATCTCAGTACTTTAGAAATAGCTGGACTACAATTCAGAGGACCCAGTTCATGACGTTAGGTACAGCAGTATTTTTTGAGTTAAAAAAGGAAAAATGAAAGGAAGGCTAGGATGAAGGGTTGGGCTTGTGGAGCAAATAAATTCATAACATGCATATTTTTGATGGATTATCTATGATTTGCATTAAAAACATAATAAATAAGCTCCAGAGTTGGAGACTCACCAAGTGAAAACATTTTTTTGGATATACGTGTGAGAACACAGCATCCACAAACATAAAACATCCAGTAACAAACATCATAACATCCAACAACATAAAGCATCCACTAACATACAAACATCCACATCCATCAACAAACATAAAACATCCAGTAACATACAAATATGCACTAACAAACATCCACTAACTTACAAACATCCACTAAGATACAAACATGCAAACATCCACATCCATCAACAAACATAAAACATCCAGTAACAAACATACAAACATCCACTAACATACAAATATTCACTAACAAACATTCACTAACTTACAAACATCCACTTAGATACAAACATACAAACATTCACCAACTTACAAACATCCATCAACATATACACATCCACCAACATACATACATAAAAACATCCACTAACTTACAAATAAACACTAACATACATACATCTACAAACATAAAACATGCCCAACATACTTACATCCACTAAATACATACATGCGCTAGCCTACTTACACCCACTAACATACATACATCCACTAACACAGTGTCATGGGAGGTGGTCCGAAGACCGGTACTCCTGTGTACCTGATGTAGATGATAGGAGTGTCAGCATGGGTATGGACTATCAGGGCCTGGTGCAAGGTAACCACATGCCCTCTGGTGTCGAACACCAGCATTTGTGCGGCCACAAACCAGAACCCTGATGCAGCTTAAGCAGATGCCCGGAGCTAGATGATAAGCTGAGATGTATCCAGTACTAGAAAAAAGGTCAGACTAGAATAGACACCAAACAAGAAAACAAGACAAAACTAGAAAAAACAAGCACCGGAGAAGGATAGGAAGCAGAATCCAGAACATGTACACAATACGTAAGGGAAACAATAACGGAACAGGGGCAGGACAGGACATGGACTGGGAATAAAAAATAAAACAAGACAAGAGATACAAGGCAAAACAAGAGGAGACATAATGAAGTACTATATATATATATAGTAAACATTGGAGATTTAGACATACATAAATGGCCAAGATGTATGCAGCCCACCACTGCGAAAAAGTACTCCAATTACGGTGGGTCCTAACTGCCTAGATATGCATGACTAAATAAACAATAATAAAACACACAGCACTTACCTGCAAAGAAATGGGCAGAGGACATGAAACCACTGCCAGCAGGACCAGAGTGAAACAAAAAGGATTAATGGCAAAGGAACGGGTGTGGCAACACAAAACAAACATTTAAAGGAATCCAGGAAAACCCAGCATAAAGAAAACCAGACATAGGATAGAAAACCAGAAAAAACAAGAAAAACTAGACAAGAATTGTTAAAAGAGTACGAGATACCAGAAGACATGGTCAGACAACAGAACAGAACAGAACAGGTCCTGACACACAGATACATACACTAACATACATACATCTACAAACTCGTTGCCTGACCGTTCCAATACGCACCTCCTTGCGTTCCATTAGTTCCATAAGTTTTAAATATAGGTTTTGCATTTTATGGAGAACCATTAGTCACATGGTTCGTTATAAGTTTTTCTTTTAGCTAATGATTTTTTTAATCGAGCAGATTGAGCTGTTATTATGTTATATGAGGTTGCTGATTTTGTTTATGAAGACTGTCCTGGATCCTAGGATGATCACCAAGAGGCGATATTTCATTCATTCACCTCCTACATCGATTCATGATGGAATGCATGGCCATTTTCAGGGACGTCAGCAATGGAACGCAGTGCGTATTGGAACGCACTTCCATCTCTCAACAGTCGGACAACGAGTTACAGCTGTGAAGACAGAGCAGGTCAACTAGAATCTCGGAACAGGTGATGGAGGATTTGAATCAGACAAATGGAACACTGCAGAAACAGGACGCCCACTGGACCACCAATTAACTTTTGGGATTAGATCTATATAAAGGGATGCGTGGGAGGGAGGTATTAGGCTGGTTTTGTAGCATTACTGTTGTGATTGTTTTTAACTTATTGGTCCCTGAGGAAGTCCCTTTATTGGGACGAAACGCATAGGACCTATTGCTATATGCTATATTTAATGTATTTTTAATATCAAATAAAACTACTACTATTCAGAGTCCTGTTGGTTCCTGTTGACAGAGGTGACTACAGATCCTGAAAGGAGAGTTTTAGCCCCCCACTTCCATCAGAGGAGGCACCCTTGAAGTGCTTTTAATTCGAAATCTTGTGAGTGTAACCTTAATGCAGTGCATATATTTTTGACCTTACTGTATTACACTATGTTTTGTATGTTTGCTTGTTTCTAGGTTTATCAGCCGCATCCCTATTCTTTGTTTGTATATAGACCACTACCTGGGAAGTGATCTGAGGGAGGCTGACTTTACATTGTTTGGCTAGTGGTGAAGGATTTTGACACACATACATACATACATACATACATACAGACAGACACACACACATACATACATACATACAGACAGACAGACACACACACATACATACAGACAGACACACACACACATACATACATACATACAGACACCCACACACACACATACATACACACTCATACATACAGACACACACACACACACACATACATATACACTCATACATACATACATACATACATACAGACACACACATACATACATACATACATACATACAGACACACACACACACACACATACATACATACAGATACACATACCGGCATGGTTCCAGTAGCCATATTGCACATAAACATGTTATATTTAAAGGGATAAAATACCCACTTAGAAGAAAAAGAAAAAGGAGAAAAATTATCATCACAAATATAAAATATATAAACACACCAGCATACATACATTCACTAACATACAAACATCCACTAACATCCATCCACTAACATACAAACATCCGCTAACATACAAACATCCGCTAACATACAAACATCCACTAACATCCATCCACTAACATACAAACATCCGCTAACATACAAACATCCGCTAACATCCATCCACTAACATGCTTGTATTGACATACAATACAAGCATCATGATTACAATTCGTAAACTTGTAACTTAATTGCTGCAATAAAACAAGGTACAAGAACATAAAATATGAATAATTTCAATGAAAACATTGAAATCAATATGCTTGCAATTAGTAATTGGCTAATCCAGTGCCATTAAATTAACTCAAATTATAAACCAGATTATCTGCTAACAAACCCCAGCCAGTGCACCGTAGCTACAAGTCAGGGGCTTGTATTGGTATTATTGGACATGCAGTGAGAATTAAAATAAATTACAATACAGCTCTGGTTTGGGTCAATGAACAAGAGATTTTAATAAAATGTAAACATGGAAACCAGGCTTTGTGATGTTAGAATCCATGCAAGATGCTAACACTGTGACATCACCAAATCAAACCATTAAACAGCCAAATAATCACTGGAAATAGCACAGTATTGGGGTAATATTATCATATAATAATATAATAAATTGTATATAATATATAATATTATTGTCGTAGCTGCAAACAATGTAATGGACTCCATTATCTCTGGTCAGAGAAAGGCCGTTGTCCGTAATAACAGTGTATACTTTGTATTACTTTTCAATACATTCCAATGAAGGTTTAGTAACCATTCGGTCACTAAGTGAAGTACCACTAGGATAGTCAGACTCATGTTAAGAAACAATACATTTCTTATGAATAAAGTACATATTTAAATGTTATAGCGTAACTTTTAGTATTCTGCTACTCGAGATAACTCAAGAGAAGAGAGAAATAATGGAGGAAAAGAGATGAAAGACAGAATTAAGGAGAAATCCACAAGGCAGCAAACACCATATGGGAGGAGAGGGTGTTGTAACCATGGGGGCCGTGTAGTGTGACAATGATGGGGAGAGTCCTGTAGTTGGTCGTTAGCTGTTCCATTTCTCTAATCTCAGTCAGTATATTGTGAAGTTCGATGTGGGATGGTAGTGTTGGATGGTTCCAACATTGGGCTAGAGCCTTTCTGGCAGTCAAGGACACTTTAGACATAAAGCTTATTTTCAGTCCTCCCACAGTAGCACAGAAGAGGAAAAAAGTCCATGAATCAGAGTTTATCTAAAGCTTGGGAAACAGTGTATGTTTTTTTATTTCTTCGACATCTGAGTGATATATTTGACAATAGTCAGTTATTAATTATTAGTCGTTTCTTTGTCTGGTAAACATTCTCTGTATGGTGCCTTTAACAGGTTTATTTCTGATGCTGTAGACAATGGGATTCAGCATTGGTGTAACCGTGGTGTAGAGAAGGGAGATATGTTTGTCTGTTTCAGCAGAGGATGCGGAATGTGGGCGCAGATACATGGACATGATGCTGGTGTAATAGAGACTGACCACAATAAGATGAGATGCGCAGGTCGAGAAAACTTTATGCCGTCCCTCAGAAGAACGGATCGTTAATATTGTGGAAATAATGTGAATATAAGACACTAGTGTTAGCAAAAAGGAACATGTCACAATAATAACAGCAGAGACATACATTGCAATCTTGTTAAAAGAGGTGTCAGCACAGGACAATCGAAAAAAAAGAGGCATCTCACAAAAGTAGTGATTGGTGTGGGATCTGCAAAATGGCAGTTTAAAAGTTAGGACAACATGGGCAAATTTATTTATCACACTTACTGTCCAGCATCCAGCTGTTAGAGAGATGCACAGTTTCTTGCTCATGATAACATTGTAATGTAAGGGTTTACAGATAGCTGCGTATCGGTCGAAGGACATGACTGTCAGCAATAAACATTCTGTTGAACCAAGAACTAAAGATATGAACATCTGAGTTGCACAACCTAACTTGGAAATTTTTTTATCCTCAACTAAAGTGTTTACCAAAATTTGGGGCAATATTGTGGTGGAGAAACAGATGTCAATGAAGGCGAGATTACTGAGGAAGAAATACATTGGGGTCTGGAGCTGAGTATTTAGTTTCACAGCTACAATAAGCAAAGTGTTTCCTACTAGAGTTGCTATGTACATAGACAGAAACAGGGAGAAGAAAATAGCTTGTAGGTACGGGATGGTCGACAGACCAAGAAGGATGAAATCATTCACAGCCGTCTGGTTGGAGACTTCCATAAATGCTGTTAAAATACACCTAAAGGAAAACAAATGATGTCGTAAATATAATGGGTGACATTGACTGTCCAACAACAATGGATTTAAAAAAAATCTTAATAAATATACTAGTCTTAAACTTTGAGCATGACATACCATAAATTAAAATACTGACAGTAATTTATTCACAAGAAAGATATTCATCCATTGTTTCTTTTTTGTTTGGCACCTGTAATAATATTGAGTAATTTTTTTCACTAAGTCATAATGGGGGAGGGGGAGTGGGGTTACCGTTAAATACTTAAATACACACAATGTGATCTTAGTATTATATGATATGATTAATTAGAATGTAAAGAAAAATACAAACACCAAATCAAAATAGTGCAGAAAACACCATTAAATTATAATAAAAGAAAACGGATATATACATTTCACCTTATTTTTCGTAAATATATTCTCAAAGACTCGGAAAATAATCAACGCACAAATCCCTGAATTTTAAATTATTCCCTCTTTACTCTCGTTAAATAAATTCAATATTCTTAAATATATTTGTCCAAGTTATGAGATGATGGTAGATTACCTGCTTTTACTTCGAACCACTTCTACATGTGAGCAAACCTTAGTTCTATAATGAGTGTCCTTATATAAGTGATCGGTGTGTATTGATTAGTCCCAGAGTTAGTGAAAGTGTGTTAGTGGGAGCGTGATATGGGAGTTTGGGACTCCCCCGGTCTCAATATTATTAATATTTTATTCTTCTGGAGTTATAAGCTTCCGTTCTACTAAGACAAATTGGGAAACTTAAAAAACAAACAACAAATAACTCCAACACAGGAATTAAAATAAAATTACTGTAGAAATATTTTGTTGTTTCTTGTTTGATGTGACGGTGATAAAATATGTAATTATTACATTTAAAGGAAAAGTAAATATTTTCTTTGACTTTAGTTATTTAGTTGTTTTTTTTATATAAGTCGCGCTGACTTTGAGAGACACAGAACATGGCATTTAGCGAGACGTTAATATATAGTGTGGATGGGTACTCCGAGGTGCGCACAGATTTTAACTCCATAACTAGTATCATTAAAGAGGAAACTTTTTTTTAAATCCTTATTCACATTTTACAAGGTTTTACAGTAAAGGTGCCAACAATGATAATGAGACATCATAACAATTAAGGCAGTGAAACCACACTTTTACTGTATACAACCAGGGGTGATATCCCGATAATATTAGTGTTGTTTACACCATTGCGCACAGCATTGACATTGGTGGTGTAACGTTCTTCTATCAGTCTATGCACCCTGTAAGTTACCAACCCTTTCCCTTACCAGAATTTTCAAATAATGGTTTCAGAATGAATCTTCAGTGATGTTTGGTGTGTCAGATGTGGAAGTAGGCAAGTCTGAGTATTATGTAAACAGATAGTTAGAGTATGAAGTTAGACAGAGTAAAGTAGAAACAATGGAATCACAACTCCCTGGCCTGGCCCGCTGTCCCCCATTTTCTCTGAGCCAGGTAGTCTAGCCAGGGTAACCATTGCTATGGGTGTTGCATCCCACCCCTGCTAGAAAGGCCACCTGGGCATCCACTGCATGAATTTCTTCTATTTTGCTAAACCATTGATCTCTTGATGGTGTGCTCGTGGTCTACCACAAAGCAGCTACAAGGGACTTGAATTCAGTAAATGCTGCAAAACTGATTATTCATACTTGGAAATTGGATGAGGGGTGGCATGTAGGAGCGCATTGTCAAGATCGAAAAACGTGTGATTCGCCATCAATCAGCCAGATTTTCTCTGACCATTCGCCAATATTAGTTTATACGTTGACAATCCCACATGATGTTCTTAATTTAACTCATGTCCTCTCCACACCTCCAACACAGTGGACACCAATGGATATATCTTATTAAGAGATTCTGGGGTTTGGTACCAGACAGACATTTATCAGTGATATCCTGTTAAGATTACTTTTTCTACCTACCTTTTCCCTTAATCCATTTCACATACTGTATTACGCTATGTGTATTTCATTTTTTATATTATAGAAATTCTGAACGCACCTTATCGGTATCAGGTTATGTTACATTAACTGTATATGTAATTGTGTATTCTCCCCATATTTTGTGTTTGCATTTTATGGATATTGCGTGTGCTTGTAAGGTACACCAGGGAGAGTACTTTCCATTGTATCTTACATCTATTCTCTGAACACTCGGTTACCAGGCACTGACTGAACGAGAAGGTTTGAGTACAGTGAATTTGTGTTTATTGGTTTTTCCATTAAAACATTACAAATTAATATCTTTGAGCACAAAGGCACAAGCACAGCCTGCAGTGAGTACGATATAGTCTGTGAGCATAATAACAAGGAACGCTGCACGAATCATACCCCCTATCATGCCCCAATCATATCCATACACATGGAGAATCCGCACGCCAGCTGTAATGCAGAGTATTGTTAGTTCAGGGAATGTTAAGGGGATTAAACTGCGTTTTTATCATCTGGCTGGCTGTGATAACCTGCAGAATGACTGGGTGAAGGGAGGATGCAGATAATAGGAATATTTTTGGTGAGTTGGACTTACACAGGGTTACATGGAATAAACACTCATACACAGCCATCTGATGTCACCAGTGGCAGAACTAATACAGAAAGGGATTTTCAGGTGCCCCCCATAGCACAAGGGTGGCCAAAAGGTAGTTCGTCGAGTTTCGTACAACTCCTACAATGCTTTGTTGGCTGTGAATTTACCATTTGCCTGTCCTTGCATGACTGTATTTGTGAGCCTTGTCTGTGAATTTGAATGTAAACATATTTTTTATAGAGTAGATGTGAGAATGTAGGTGTGTCTTTGTTTTAAGTGTTAGTGTTTGGATGCAGCTTGTCAATGCGTTTGGCATTTACTGTACCCACACATATTATATACCATTTTTCTGGCCATTAAATGGTCTTTATACCATTATTTTCATCATATCATATAATTTACTAAAAAATAAATTATAAAATATGATGACATTTCCTTAGAAAACACTTTTTCTAACTTTGACCCCCAAAATCTGTTACGTATCTACAACCGCCAAAAAAAACCTATGCTAAATAGTTTCTAAATTTTGTCCTGAGTTTAGAAATATGTTAACATGTTTTTTAGATTTTTTTTGGAAAGTTATAGGTACTTTGCTCTTTGTTTCACGTTCCACTTTTTGGAGACTTGGATGCTATCTAATATGTAGACATGTATGTGCGTAGTGGGGAATCGCAATGCAGCCTAGAACAAATCTAGCCCCATTAAACCCCCCCAATAACGACAAACAACTTAGTATGGATGAACAGGCCACAGCATTTATTATAACATAAATAAATTACTGCATAACACATCCATAACTTTTTATTAAATCTCTTCTTTCTGTAACGAAATAAATAATCATAAATTAACATATAAACATATTACTCAACACAGTGTTATGCAGTGACCCAACCGTCCTTGCCAATAAACATACAGTGGTTCCTAACCACCACTTCCTCTCACCTCCCCCCTCGTCATAAATCATCTCTTTCCAATGCCCGCCATCAGCCGACCTTATCCACGCTCGATGGGCACGACACCTCAGGCAACCTAATGTTAACCGTTTGAAGCAGGGGAGGTTGAGACCTGCAAACATAATGAACTTACTCCATCCTTAAACATAACCCTTCAAACTTAATTGGCAAGGACATACCCCCGCCTCGCTGTGACTAACTAATCCTACAAGGGGTGGGTGGGCGGGAAGCTGTTTGCTGGCCCGAATCCCAAGTGGCACTGAGGTAAGACCTCCCCCACGCTAACTTATATTGAACCTAACCCCTCCCACACACACATTACCCAAGTCACTCCCCTGCATCTATCCCCACACTCCTACATGTGCCCTTGTCCGCTTAGCTGCGCTATCTCCCCAGGGTCTTGTATGTACGTAGTGGGGAATCGCGATGCAGCCTAGAACAAATCTAGCCCCATTAAACCCCCCAATAACGACAAACAACTTAGTATGGATGAACAGGCCACAGCATTTATTATAACATAAATAAATTACTGCATAACACATCCATAACTTTTTATTAAATCTCTTCTTTCTGTAACGAAATAAATAATCATAAATTAACATATAAACATATTACTCAACACAGTGTTATGCAGTGACCCAACCGTCCTTGCCAATAAACATACAGTGGTTCCTAACCACCACTTCCTCTCACCTCCCCCCTCGTCATAAATCATCTCTTTCCAATGCCCGCCATCAGCCGACCTTATCAACGCTCGATGGGCACGACACCTCAGGCCACCTAATGTTAACTGTTTGAAGCAGGGGAGGTTGAGACCTGCAAACATAATGAACTTACTCCATCCTTAAACATAACCCTTCAAACTTAATTGGCAAGGACATACCCCCGCCACCAGACCCGTTGATTTACCCCTAAATCAGCGGGGAACCCCACCAAAACCCTCCATGGCCTGTTCCACCGCCTCCTGTAGGGCGAGATTAAAAAGGTCGAGCCCGACCTCCGTTAGGTGTACACCATCCCTTTGAAAAAATGCGGCCGCCTCACGCTCAAAAACCCTTTGGCAGATAGGAATCCCCCGAACTCCCAAAACAAACTGGGAAACCTGCCTGTTAAACTTGCGCCTGCACCGTTCCACGGCACTCTGGCTCCTAGCGCCACGCCAATAGTTACGGGCAATGACTTCTGACCAGACCAAGCGCACGTTGGGGAATAGGACTAAAATGCGGGCTAAGTCCCGCTTCACCACCGAAATCAAATCCCAGATGGGCACTGAACCCAAATCGTTCCCCCCTAAGTGGTCACCAGGACACTCGGTACCCCTAGTAGGTGAGAAAGCTGCACCAACTCAGGGAGGAGCCGAACCCACCTCATACCCCTCGCACCGAGCCATCGAACCTCTGCTACGGAAGGCGTGAAACCCAACCGCTCGCCTCCAGGCCGTACCGCCGCACGCTGCCCAGCCCAGTAAACATAAGAGTGCCCGATGATCCAAATCCTGGGGGGAACCGAAACTGTAGAAAGAAATTACGACAGTAAACCATCCGGCCGAACATAGGAAACATAACGTCTTGATTCCCACCTGCCAATCCTCTGAACCACCTGCGCAGGCATGCCAAGCCTAGAGGCCTCAGTAGCCGCCCCAATACGGAACGAGTGGCCCCCGAACTCCTTGCCAACCAAACCCATGGCTTCCAGCCCCAAACGAAACACTCTAATAAACTGAAAATGCGACAGGAAACTCCCATCCCTATGTACCAGGAGGGGCAGTGCAGTAGAAGGCCACAAGGTGCAATATTCCCCAAAGGACCACACAGGACAAATGCCAGAACCAGGCACGGCCCCTAACCGGACCCACTTACCCCTCCCCAAGACATCCGTCTTAGAGCGGCGGATCCTGAACGAGATCCCATCCGCGGTGCACGTAACGTCCTCAAATAGCACACCCCCTACCTGCTGCCGATTGGGGCACACCAGCTCCCCAATCCGCATGGCACCAAAGAATGCCAGGGAAAAGGCCAGACGAAAAAGCTGAACCTCGAACTCCGAATGGCAAAT